CACTTTGCACCGTTCCTGCTTAAAACGGGGCGGATTCAGAGCGCGGCATCACCTGATGCTCGGCATGGGAAGCACAGCCCTTTCATCACCCTCTCCTGATGCCTCAAAAAATAGAATTTAAATGCTTTTACCCTCCCCAGGCAGGGGGTACTGCGCTCCTAAGGCACAAAATGAATGGCCCAGCAGCAGCCGCAGGAGTGACCCCGTCCTCCTGCCAGAAAGGCAAAGAGCCTGGGCCAGATCCAAACCTGGGGTGGGTGTGGGGAGTGCCGAGGCGCATCAGGCCAGCGTGCAGCTGTGCGATGGTGCAGCATCGAGCTGGGGCCTGGGAACGGCCGGCAGCACCCAGCCCGCTCCCTTTCAGCTGAGTTGGAGGACTTGCTTCCCTGCTCCACTGCAAACCCCTATTTAAGGCAAAGCCTGGCTGCGGGGGGGGGCAGAGACAATCCAGACGCTGCCTTTGGAAAATGGCTGGCTGGGGGGGGCAGGGGGAGCCCTGCTGTGTCCCCCACCCCAGCCCCAGGCACTACCTTGTCCTGGCAGGAGGGCAGAGCCATGGAGGCAAAGGGAGCAGCCAGCGGCTAAAGCCCCCTGAGTCCATCCCCGGGAGGGAGGAGGTGGGGAGCAGGCTGGCTGCGGGAGCCGAGGGGGGGTCCCCAGCCCCTTGCCCATCACTGGCATCCCGCTGCAGCGCTCAGTCCTCAGTCATCGGCCACGATGGACAGAGCCCGCAGCTCACTCAGCTTGGCGTCGTTCTCCCGCTCCCGCTGCTCATCACTCAAACCAGGCCGGTCGATCTGCGCTGTCAGATCCCCGCCCGAGCCAGCCCCTCGCCTTAGCATTTCTGTTTCTAAAATAGCTTCCTCCCATGTGTTAATACCACCCCCTTAGATTATTACAACTCAACACATTTTAATAACACGCTGCCCTTCTCTGCTCGCTTCCCATCTGGGGAGCTGTGCGCGCGGGGCTGCTGCCGGCACCCGGCACTGCCGTGCAGCCACCAGCCCCATGCCGCAGCCAGTGTCCCCCGCTCGCCGGTGTCACCGGGACGAGCTGCCCTGCCCACAGTGCCTGGCTCTGCAACAGGTCTCTGCTGCCCAGGCAGGGACACGGCGAGCGTCACGCCTGGCAGTGCCATACCCTGCATGAAGCAGGGGAAGCGGGGGGAGGGGTGTTTTAATAATGTGCTAATTAGCACCGCCAATTAACTCCGGCAGCGAGCAGCGCTTCCCGGAGTGGGAGCCAGTGGGTCAGCGCAGGCAGATGGCACCGGGCTGCCTGCTCGGGCGCAGGCCCTCGCCGAAGGAGAGCCGCAGTGCCCGGTGGGCGCTGGCAGCGAGCCCTGCCTGCAGGAGCCCCCGGTGCGGC